AGAGACAGAGACAGAGACAGAGACAGAGACAGAGAGAGAGAGAGAGAGAGAGAGAGAGAGAGAGAGAGACAGAGAGAGAGAGAGAGAGAGAAATCCACCAGCCCATCTGGCTAACTGCTTGTGGAGGCATTCATCGGGCAAGTGACACAGAGTGTGAAAGTGTGTCATAGACAGAAAATTACAATATGCTTTTCATTTGAGATGCACTCTAAAAAAGACAAAACGGTTACCTGCACTAATTATTATGTCTCATTTAGTTCTTAAAGTTAAACTAATCTGCTTTACATTAACCTCTTTACAATACAAACTGTTTCCTTGAGATAGTGCTCTGATCTCCATTCTTCCACCACATTTAATTTAGAAAAGATTCCTAGAAATTACATTTGACTTGCATTAGTGGAATTATTGGAGGATTGTTTTCTGTGGAAAAATAAACGATTGATACGAGTTTGAATCAAACATTAAGATTACTTTTTTGTGTACATTTGCTCAGACATTTACTTTGAATGCAAGAACTTGACACATCTCAAACAGATAAGCAACAGTTATGCTTAGGCCATTTCATACTGTGTTGTGCTGCCACCCAGTGGAAAACTTCAATACTTGAACAACATAATAATGCAATGTAGTAAATATGGTTTTCCCAATATCTATATATAAATTGAAGTCTCCTACATATATGACACATGATACTTAAACCAACTGCAGCACAAGCTTTACAAAATGGAATCAGCACATTAGTCCCTGTATTGTTGTTTCCAGTATTTTATTCTGTACCGTTACTTTAAGGAAATGTTACTCAAATAGACCTACACAAAAAAAAGGTCCTCCAACTAGTACCGATTTATATAAAAATACATTGCTAAATTAACGTACATTATAGTCGAAGCCCTTCATGCCACCGTGTCCTCTATGGTCAGATACGTCCAATGTCGATGGATGGCACGGTTGATCCTGTTTTAGTGCAGCTTCACTAGAATCAAGCAACAACAAAAGAGAATAAATCAAAAGTAAGCCTACATGCAATATACAATTCCCTACATTGATTAAATTATAGCCTGCCACTTTAACAAAGAGGCTTTACATCCACAGCTGCACCCACAAACAAATAAAACAGCATAAACAGTAAGCTCAATCACACGTTTTGCACATAATAGCTACACACAATGCTAGCGTTTACGTTCTCCTCGGGAGGGTCACATCCATGCAAGTACTCACCTATGAACGTATTTCTGTGAGTCTTGCTTGCATCTCGAAGTCTTCCACCGTCTGCTCCAGGTTCTTCAAAACATAGTTCACTTAGTCCTGCACCTTACTGAACATAAAGCTCCTATATCAAACAAATCACCTGGAGGATCCGCCATGATGTTAGCATTTAGCATGTTAGCTGGACCCAGCACACCTGTCGGTAATTGGGTGGGTGTGGTTGATTGATTACAGTATCTTGATTACACTGAGGTGCTCCCTGGGTGGTGGTTTGTTATAGATAGGCAACATTTGTATTAATTAAGCTGACAACGTCTCCCAAAATCTAAACCATAATGAAGTCATCGTTATTTTTAAATTGAATTGCTATGCATTGTTGTACATCTAACTAACTTCTAGCCCAGGGGTGCCCACACTTTTTGGGCTGGTGCGCTACTTTTGAAATGACCAGCTCACGAGGTCTACCAACCAAAAATAAAATCCCAAATTGCAAGGGTTGCTGAATAACACGTTTTATTTATATATGGGATAATAGGGCTGCAACAAACGACTAATTTGATAATCGATTAATCTATCGATTAATGAAACGACTAATCGACTATTCCTGTATGCCTTGCACAATTTCTCAAACCCTCTTGTTTAGCCATCAACTTTTAGATTTAGCTTGAGGTTGTTTTAGGCATGTGGAAACTATCAATAAAGACAATAAAGATTAATACTTGATTCAAAAATACATATATTATTAAATTAACAAATTGTGAACAAAACTAACATTGCTTTTTATTTAAATTAAATAAATAATATTTCACATCAAAAGAAACAACAATGTTTTAACAAATCGTATTAAATAATCTGATGACAGAACTGTGAACAGAATAGCTGAAACTTTAACAAAATAAAGAGTAACTCAGTTTCCTCTAATCATTAACCCATGTTTGAATCATTGAGTTAACTGCGTGTGTTGCTGCTAGCATACATAACACCTGACGTGGAAACGTTACTCGTGGATGGGGCTACAGAGCTACTAGAAAGACAGTGGAACCCGGTGCATTCCTCCGTCTGAATGTGGTGCACTTTTGCTAAATGTTTAGACACATTGCTCGTGTTACCGCCCTCACATGCTAAACTCTCTTGGCAAGGAGCATTGTTCACCTCAAGACGGGTAACATTTAACCACACCTTGGAGCGCTTCTCTCCGCCATCCCCTCCGTGTGTTTCTGCATGTAGCAGCCGCGTGTGTGTAAACTGCCCTGCCCCCTCGCGCACAGACGGGGGAGAGAGATCTCGTCTCGATTGGAAAGATCGAAAATACACCGACATTTGTTTGTCTTTTTTTATGTTAGAAACGAGTTGGCGACACTAAGATTGCGAGATAATATTTGTGTAGCAATAATACAGACCTTTCTCTTTCTCAACTCGCTACTCGGAGGGAAGTCGCTGTCATATGCCTTGTGAACACTCCGATAATGCCTCTCCACGTTACCTTTCTTTGGCAGAGCGACGCTTGCTTTACAAATAAGGCAAATAACCTTTGAATGTGACATCACAAACAAATATTCTTCCTCCCATTCTGGGTGGAAGTGGTTTGTCTTTAGCTTCTTGCTCGGTCCCGCACTCATTTTGTTGTTTGTCTCTTTAACTTAATTTGAGTTTTCCCGGCACTTGACTGATTTTGTATCGCTTTGCATTCTGGGTTAACAGACTGGAAAGCGATAGGTCGCTTTTTCTGTCAATCAAGTAAACTCGGAGGCCAAGGGAGGAGGGATCAAAACCTGTTTTGTCTATTTTAACGGAACAGGATTTTTTTTTTTATGAATGACTCGCGATCTACCAGCATTGCCCCCGCGGTCGACCGGTCGCCCGCGGTCGACGTACTGGGCACCTCTGTTCTAGCCCCACCTCTACCCCCTTGACACTCCTGCCAGTAAATCTCTGGAGTGCTGCCCTCCTGCGGACATTACACTAGTTTTTTTCTTCCATTCTCACAGTTTATCATTACTTTTTTTATGTAGTCTTGTTAGGGATGTGATGGGGGGGAAAACACAGTAGACTGGAGCAATTGACCACAGGGGACTGACACATATCTGATTCTTTGATCTTGGTTTATCTCAAGGGAAAGCTTGGAGCTAAATTAACCACTATACTATCACACACCACCCAAATCTCCACTAATCTGTCAGTGGTTGATTTGCATTGTGGGTCATTTAGGAGACGCATTTTTATTCAGAATAATGCATAAAATACTAAAATCATATTCTTGCTTTTGCACATCAATTTTGATCCTCTTCATTTAGCTAAAAAGTCTATATTGTGTCCGACCCTATTTTATGAGTTGAATGCTAAATTGGTGGAGTAGTGTTTTCAATAAGTTAACTTGTTGGCTGGATAGCTCATCTGTTAAGGCTTTCTCTAAAATAAAACGTAACTTGGTCATCCAATATTGTGTAATGTTGTACAGTTGTTGTATATGATTCTGCTACATTATGTGGTAATTACAAATGTATCTGTATTAGTTATCTGGAAATAAAGTTGACCATCCCTCTGAACACCATCAAGTTCCTCACTGATACTGTGTCACTGAGGGCATTGCAGCCCCGTCCTTTCTTTATGCCTGTGGCTGTCTGGCTTATTATTATGGTCTGTCTGGGAAGCTGCCTGGCTGGTGGTCTCTAAGTGAACTTGATACTGAAATCAGCAGCCGGCTGTGATGTGTGGAGCATCAAGGGGCCTTTGCGGAGCTAGTCTGGAGCTCAGCCAGTCACTTAACACTTGTCAACAGTTCTAATGAAAATGGCCTTTTAGTTGGTGGCCTCTTTTTCATTATCAGGGTCAGAGGTCGTCACTCAAGGCTGGCTGTCTGTCGTGTGAATGAGCAGACAGATGAGGAAGAGAGCTGAGGAAGGGGGTTAGAGAAGGGGATATAAGGGCAGAGGGGGAAGGGGAAAAACATTAACTTGCTATTTGGTTCCTTATGTTCTGTTTCCTAAATGCCATGCTGAGCCAGGTGGATAATTTTGTATCAGACCGCTCTAGTGTCAATCCTGAGTTGATTCTCCTCTCACCTTGTGTTTGTTTGTAACTTTATTCTCATGCATGTTGGACTTTTTCAACGTCATAATCTCTTTCACACCAGGATCCAGCCACAAGATACACCACAAACAGTTATGTTGTCTTTTAGTGATAATTAAAGCATCAAGCTATATGCTAACTTAAGGGAATACACTCCATAAATTGTACTTGACCTTTACTCTCCTTCCATTCCTCTCACTTTTTAATATAAAGTCTCTTTAACACAGATGTGGCTAACTGAGTGAGTGAGAGAGAATCAGCCGACATCCCTCTCCTCCTCCTCCTTCTTCTCCTCCTCCTCCTCCTCCTCCTCCTCCTCCTCCTCCTTCTCCTTCTCCTCCTCCTCCTCCTCCTGTTCCCCTTCACCCCGGCCTCTTGCACATGAAAGGGGCCGCGTAAGGCGAATAGATGGCCGGTGGGGTGTGTGCTATGCAAGGGCCCCAGACCCAGACACAACACAACACACAGCTCTGCGGGCCACCACAGCTGGGCTGGAATGTGACCTGCTTCAGACTCGGCCCTGTGTGTGTGAAATACAAGTGGAAGGAGGAGGACATGGATGAGGGGATGCACTGCATGCATGAACTTTTTGATAAGTTGTTAGCATGAATATTTGGCCTTAAACAAAGGGAACAGAACAACATCACAAGGCACAGACTTCTGTATTTTCTAAATCATCTTTATTTGTTTTGCCATCATATTCCATACAAAATAATGGACACTAATATATCATAGATAACATAAAATGTGTCTGCTCTCTGTGTAATTAGACTCACAGAGAGACTTTCTGTCTATATATATATATATATATATTTATATCAAAAGCCCTATAAGGAATAAATCAAGATAAATAAATACAAAGTACAGAAGTCCACATATATATTCTGTATTGTAAATAAAAACTTATCAAAACAGACTCCACAAAATGTGGAATCCAAGAGCTTATTTGATTCTGGTAGATAAACTGAGGCTTCGCATTGCATTATTGTGAGCTCAAGTGCTCCGGACAGATGTTACACAATGTCCATTTTGGGATAGCCCACGAAAACATAAATCAAACTTACCAGTGATAATAAAACATACCCAACAATGAACGTTATTATTGTATTTCAAACAACATCTGAGAGGAAAGCTATAATGAAGTTATAGTCAAAGGCTGCAAAGATAACAAATACTTTGTACAGGGTATATGTTTGTGACTAATACTATTTCTACCTGTCCTCATCAGACAGTGTGCCCTATGTGCGACATCAAAACTGTCTAAGCTTGATTCTAATAAGAAAATAACTTTTAAGACAGTTTTGACTCAGCACCTGAATACAAACTAACAAAAAGGATCAGTGAGTGATTTTCTGGGATCTGTTAATCAATATTGATCAAAGTAGGAAAAGAAGAAACATCTAGAACAGGCAACAAAACATCCAAATGTTACAGATAAGTTTTACGTTTACTGGCAGTCGATCAGACTGGTGAGGTTACAGCTTGTAATAATCAGAAAACAAAACTGTTTAACAGTGATTGAGACTTAGAAGACTACTGGACAGCAGAGAAATCTTTAATAAAATCACAGGTTTTCTTGTGGATAACCTCACGAAGCTTCCTGATTCTACGAGTGCTGGAGGAGCCTACAAAGCTGTCGGGCTGCAGGACGGCCATCCCGTTCTGAACATCCCCCATGATGAGGAGCTGCCCGTCGGCTATAGTGATATTGGGGCAGGGACAGTTCCAGTCCATGTTCAGTAGAGTCACCTCCAGCGGCTCTTTGCCAAAGAACCTCAGACCCATCTTCTCATCTTTCAAGATCTCCACCACTGTCACCAAAGCGTGTCCTGACTCTTGCTCCTCCGTCAGCTCGGTCACACGCCCCAGAATCACAAAGTCAGCCTTGCAGAAGCTGGTGACCATCTTTGCTCGGGGTTTACATATCTTGCAGTTGTGGTTCTTCGGAAAGGGACACATCTCTTCGCAGGCTTCTTTAGACTCAAAGTTGTTCTCGTTGCCACCGCAGCCTCCGTACACGAAGGACTGGCACTTTTTGAGCCCACTGCTGTAAGCCCAGCGAGGCTCGTAGGCCTTGCACGGCCCTTGAAGGCTCGGTAGGCTGCAGGGGGCTGAAAGCTCTCCTCCACATGACAGCATGCACGTGCCGTAGGTGTCGAAATGGTTACGGTTTTTATTGCACTGACTGTAGGTGAAGGTGAAGCAATTGTTCCTCTTTGGTTCGTAGTACCAGCTCATGCTCTCTTCTCCACAGTCGTCTGTGTCTGGTCTCTTAAGACACTCTTCAGCTGGAAATGGCAGGTTTGTAATATTCCCTATTGCCTTCTTGCCTTTTGCCTCCTTCCTGATCACTACCAAAGGAAAGTGTACTGATACACTTCCCCCAACGTTTTTGGCTGTACATGTATAGATGCCGGCATCCTGAAGTTGCGCGTTGTATATGACCAGCTGGCCAATGTTAGTGACCACCACGTTCCCTCGGACATGGTTGGGTTTCATCACGGTGTTCTCTTTGCCCTTCAGTTGTTTCTCCCAGGTGATTTTTGGATGTGGCTTCCCAGAGACCTCACACAGGAAGCTGGCTGTCTCACCCACAAAAACAGCCTGTTGGGTGGGGCCGCTGTGTATGGTGGGGAGCTGGATGTCAGCTGGGAGGGTGGTCTGGAGGGCAGTGGTTGGATGTAGGGTTGTCTCTGCTGGGATTGGACTGGTGTTTGGCCATGTCAGATGGTATCTGTAGGTAGGTTTGATAAGAAAGGAATTAATCAGAGCAAGACAATGTAAAAGATTTTTCTTTGAAAGGGCTAAATACAACATTCAGAGCACGTTTGCGGTGCTAGCAGCTAATGTTGTTACCAGAGCGGAAAGTGCTAACATAGACAAAAGCCTGACAGAGCTAACATAACAGGGTTAATCTTGGGGGGAGTTTGAGGTTTGTGGAGGCATACTTGCGCAACAATGACATCCAGCCACTGTGGGGCGGGAGGCGTTATCAGCTGTTACTACCATATGAGCGCATTATAAAGCAATGGTCATTAGCAATTCAGTGATTAACACACAAAAGGACTGGCATGGACTAACACTGCAGGCACAACTACCAAATAAAAAGCTTGGATAACAACACGCAGAACCCGACTTCGCTGCTGAGGACGCCGTTACTCAACCATATCTTTACTTTAAATAGTTGTTGCTGTTATATAATTTGTTCTTAATGTTGTATTTAACACCTTTATTTACAATGACATATTACACACAGAATATCTTTCTATGAGTTTTTCTAATTTAATTTTGAACACTAATCAAAGATAACTTTACCTCATTACACCAAAAACGAAATAGTAGATATGTAAAATACTTAACATGTTACCTGCAGGTGACCTCAGAGATAGAGATACCCTTGGAACAGGCCTCTGCATCCATGTAGCACTTGTTATAGTACGTCATGCCGTCAGAGGCGCATGTGAAGTGGGGTTCTCTCTCACAGCGGTCCCGGCACTTACAAACAGGCTGGCTATCCCAGATGTCGCCACTCGGACCCTTGCTGAGAGCACATGAACTTGTCGCAGGTGGCGCCCTCTGGCATTCCTATGGGGCCCTTGTTCCCCTTGACGTCTATATAGCGTGATGCCACACAGCTTTTGTTACCACATACATTAGGGCAGCACTTCTCAAATGTCTCACAGTCCTAAAATTGGAAAAGAAACACAGCTTTTGTATTACTGTTTTTATTTATTTTTTCAGTAAAAATGTAATTATGCATAAAACATAAAAATGGTTCAATTGTTGGTCTTTCTTGACAAAATGTTACTTGCCGATTATGTCTATATGTTTTCTGCGTTCATGACAGCATTAATAAATAAATAAATGTGTTTAAATGTCTAACATTACCTAACCATAACTTTTACTTTGTTGAATTCTGTTTCTGCTTTACTTTTTATCCCTCATGCAGCAACTCATGCACAGTGAAAAGGAAAATATTGTTGGTGGATTTAATGATCTAGCTGTTTGACATTCAGGTTTTTTTTCCATCATACCCTTTGTCTAGACTCTAAGCCCTGTCTTCTACACATTTCACTTTTCACGTGCAGCACTCACCTGGTCAAATTCGCACTCGCGCATGCAGGTGCTCATCGCATCCACCCACAGGTTGGGGTTCAGATCATTCGGGCACAGACCTGCGTGAGAGTACACCACTTTTGACACAGACATGGGCATTGGCATTGCTCTCACGCGGCAGCTGTCCATAAAAAGGAGTAAAGCATAAAAGTGTCCCAGCAGAAACCAAATCCATCGGGGAAACAGCATCCACCACATATCCGACGCGTAACAGAATGGACGCTAAAAATCGTGAAAATGCAAGTTTCAAATGTTGGAAAAAACTCTTTCAAACTATCTTCAAACTTCACGGAAATCCACGAATCAGAAACGGAACAAAAGTAGAGAAACTATCGGAGCGTGCAGGACCGGTCTCGATGTAGAGAGCTCTCCAGGTTTGTCGCTCCACGTTTAATAGCAGCGAGAGATTAGGGCTGCGGTGAGGAAACCCTCTTAAATTCTAACTACATGAATTACAGTGACCTGTCTATTCGGACAGCAAATCCCAGCTGAGTTACAGTTATGATCAACGTAATGAAAAAAAAAAAAAAGGAAAAGCCCACAGTCTGCAGGCGCTGTTTCATAAAGGACTGGCGAGACACCTGTGCGTAAAGGCGCTGGCTGCCTTAACCCTTAGCTTGCAGAGAAGTCCCAGACTTAGCAATGAAATCATTATAAACATTTTTTCATTCAATTATCGCACACGTGCACACTGTATCTTCATGCCTCATATGAATATAAATGCTACTGATTATTTATTTTAAAAAATGCTATTTTGTAGTAACATAAGTCAATGTATAATTTATATTAGCTTACAATTACATTTTTGCTTATAGTTATTATTGGGTAGTATTTCATATTACAAGATGCTTTGTTTGTTAAAAAAAAAACATCTTCCGTCTGTAAAATCTCTCCCCTTCAGCAGAACACAAATAAGTCCAGGAGATGGCACCAAACTCAGTGTTCCCTAGACTTTTGAAGAACATGTTGTGGTTTAACTTCTGCACATATTGAAGTGTAGATGTGGTTACAATATGTATTCATATATATATATATATATATATATATATATATATATGTTTTTTTGTTGTTGTAACTTTTAATGGCTAAACATTTTGGGTGGTGATTAAGTGAAACCACCTATATTTCTAATCCTCTTCCTTTTCTATAAAGGAGAAAACAAGAGAAGCTTTTTTTGTCATCCATAACAGGTGCAACCTAACATGATCAACATGTCTCCATACACCAAACATCCCAGTTAGCGTGTTTGATACTCCATCAAACAAATGGAATATTAAATTGTTTGAATTCAAAACCACAAAGGTCCTGTTTGACCATTTCTTTAACATTTTAAAATCCTATTTACAAGCTATTTTATATTAAAAGCATTTTCAAAGTTGTTAAATTGTTGTTATTGTTCAGCGATGCAGAGCATGGAACCACATTGGGAATGCGATGAGGCTGTAAGAAGTCTCCGAACAGCTTGATCTCATGTTGTGAAAACCAGGTTTCTTCAAAAGCAAATTCTAGGAAGTTTTTAGGGTTGAAAGGGGCCTTTAAAACAAAACAAACAGGATGGTGGTCTGTTTGGATGTGAAGTTAACCGAAAAAAGAATGACGCAACAACTCAGACCCACCAATAGTGATTTAAGAACATCCTTTAACCCAATAAAACAGTTTTTGCTTATCTTAAAAATTGTTATCTTTAGAAGAACAAAGGGTGTGTGTGGGTGTGTCTGTGTGTTAGTGTATGTATGGAGTTTTTGCATCCCTGCTGAGTCCAAAGAGGCCCACTGCTCTGCAGGCTGAATCCTGTCTTAGCATACTAAAACAGGATTCAGCCTGCAGTCTGTGAGCAATGTCTCAAAAAACACACATAAGTGCACACACACACACACCACCACACAATTAAAAGTCATACACATGCATGCACAACAAGTAACCAATTATAAAGTGGATATAGTTAAAAAACACGGATTATTTAGCTGTCAATACTAACATTCACTAAAAGAAAATGGATGTGCACATTACACACTATCCATTTCACATACATATGCATGCTTTCAATGTAATGCAAATGCACAAACACAGTCAAGCTGTGTTTTCAGGGTCTTCCCACTCTCTCACCCCTAACCTTCACCCCTGCAAAAGCCTGCATTCCCAGCATAGCCGACACTGGGGATGGGGGCACTTCCCATATTGAATAAAGCCTCTGACAACCCCATGTCAGGAGCTCTAGATTTTAAAACGATTGTCTTCATTCAGACCTTGACTTTGACCTTCTCTCACTCGCTTTCTGGGGAGGATGAGAAGACAATGCTGCAACTCAAGTGATGTCTTCACTAATGTTTTTTTCTTCAGAATATGACAATATGTGGTTATGGTGACGTAAAGCTTGTAAATGGGTATACAAATTATACAACATATTCACTATTACAAGTTAGTCAGTGAGCGTTAAAAGTGGCTGGTCGCCAGATTTAGTTATCTACAGACAGAACAAGATAGCTGTTTTCCCTTAGGAAACGAGTGTTAATAACCTTTATGCTAAGCTAACAGGTTGGTGGCTGCAGCCTTATATTGAAAGGACGATATCCTATCTATCAATCTCAGATCTAACTCTACGCCAAATAAGAATACTTTCCAACATGTTTGAACAATTCCTTTTATCATTTGCTGTATGTGGGATTGCACTGCTAAGGCAAGAATTAAATGCTTGTAACACTCCATTTTCCGGATGACCCATTCTTACAAGGCTCAGCATCCGGTTTTCGCTATGAGTGGTCGCATTTGCGAGAGCTCCCGCTTTGGAGGTTATTCCTCACGATTTTTTTACATATTTCATCCTCCTGACAATATGGATTATGGACCCCTACCTCAACTCATCAATGAGGCAACATCACTTAGAGAAGGAGAGTAATGAAAGCGGGGATAAAATGAACCACAATGACTTTATACCTTCTCAACGGCTGGGAAAGGAAACACCCTCGCTTTTGGAAGTGCAAGCATTCATGCATTATAACTGCAAACCCAGACGCGAAAGTACTCACCCCCGTCAGGGCAAACTAGACCGAAGAAGTATGATCGTCTTGGTCTTATTGTTAGCGGGAGACATCCATCTGAATCCGGGCCCGGTGCTAGCATCACAACTAGCATCAACTAGCATCACAACTAGCATCTCTCCGCTGCAGCAACAACTACGCGACGACAACAGAGACCGTGGAGACAGCGGAGACCGAGGAATAAACGGAGACTTCGACATTCCCCCCGGGGACGCCTCGGCAGACAGACACGCATGAGGCAGTGACGAGAGGAAGAGAAACCGATATCCGAGGGAAACAATATCCGCCATGTTGTTAGCCACCCCTGCTAGCATATCAACGGCTAAAGCTACAACGGAGCCTCCCTAACTAGCTCACATAATTAAACCTCTCCATAAAACAGGGAAAAGTACCCAAAGACTTCAAAATTGCAAGAGTAACCCCCCTGCACAAAAAGGGCAGCAAATTGGACCCAGGCAACTACCCGCCCCTGTTTCTCGACTTACCTCCATCTCGAAAGTCATGGAAAAAATAGTATATGAAACAGGTCGAAAAGTACCCTCGCGGAAAAGAAACTAATCTATGAATTTCAATCTGGCTTTAGAACATCCCACTCCACTGACACATGCCTTCTTTATTTGAGCGACCACATCAAACAAGAGGTGGACAAGGGCAAGTACTGCGGCATGGTGATGCTGGACCTACAAAAGGCTTTCGACACTGTCAATCACCCCATTCTGATTGACAAGCTAAAAGCAATTGGTTTGATAAACTATCGGTAAGCTGGATGCAATCCTACCTGGAGGGCGAGAGAACAGATGGTGGAGGTAAACGGTACTCTGTCCCCCCCCCCCCTCCCAGTGAGCTGTGGTGTTCCACAAGGAAGCATATTAGGTCCGTTACTGTTCCTAATTTATGTAAATTGACATGTCATCAGCATGTGACTGCAACTTGTTCCTGTTCGCGGACGACTCAGCCCCTGCTGGTCTCTGACAGGAACAGATTGCAGGTTGAAAAAAACCCTCAGCTCCGAGCTCGGCAGAATCTGCACCTGGCTCGCCGATAATAAATTATCATTACAACCTGGGTAAAAACAGAGTCCATTCTCTTCGGTTCGAACATAATCTCAGCAAATCCGACGACTTCTTAGTTGCAGTGGGCGACATTATTGTCACAAGTAAGAAGGAAATTACATACCTAGGATCTATTCTTGAGGCAAACCTCTCCTGTGACAAATGGCATCCAATGTAATAAAAAAAGTCAATCAAAGAACTAGATTCCTATACCAGGATCTCCTCTCTGGTAAACAAAAACACCCTGAAAAACTCTGGCAGGAGCACTCATTCAAGGGGTACTATGACTATGCTTGCACGTCATGGTACCATAGCACCTCCAAGGCGCTAAAAATAAAACTTCAAACATCGCAAATAAACTGGTCAGACTACTGCTTGACCTTTCATCTAGAACCCACCCTCACCTCTGCCCACTTTGACAACCTAGGATGGCTTAGAGTAGACGACAGAGTACAGCTACTTGCAATGGGCCTGCTCTACAAGATCCACTACACCTCTATGGTACCCATGTACATGTCAAAATTCTTCCCAAAGGTCAAGGAATACCATGATCATAAACACCAGAGGGAGCTCCACAAATCATGTGAAACCCAGATTTGGCACAAAAAAAGGGGGAATACACGTTTCGCAATTATGCCACATCAAGGTGGAACGCTCTTCCCACAACCTGTAAAGGAAGTAAAACTATACTTACCTTCAAAACCTCTCTTAAAGAGCACCTTCGGGGGAGAGCATTGCAAAACTAGGCCCCGGTAATGGTACAAATATCAACCTGTCGTTCAATGGACAGCTTCCCCCCCCCATCTATGTATATACTCCGCATTTTAGACTCTGTTACTAACTGTATATCTGTAGACTTGGTATGTCTTAAATGTCCGGTTAGGATGTATTAGAACGAAATCTAAAATGAAAAGTGTAAATAAGCAATCTGTATGTAAAAAACCACCTGTATGTAAATTGTAAATAAGCCATCTGTATGTCAAATATGTCTTATATGTCTTAAATGATATGATGAATTGGAAATGGGGGACCTGATGTAAACAAGACGAAAGTCTTTCTCTGGTCTGCATCCCCTTAACAATTGTATGTTTTGAGCTGTACTGTACTGTACCCAATATACAAGCTGTTAATAAACTTTTCAATCAATCAATCAGCCTCAGCTTTGTTCCAGCAGCCTGTAGCTCCACTCGGACAAATTACTCAGAGGGATAAACCGCTCACGGGGTTCCTCGGTTTGTAGGATGTAGGCCACTGTACTATACGGATATAAGCTACTATACATATTACCTCACCATTAATCTCTCTATGGTGTAATGCATGC